ATAACTGATGCAGCCTCATTTTTTAATAAAAAATTTAAAAACTTTAAAAAGTAAAGATGCAAAGACTCTGATGACAGTATGCCCATCACAGGAGAAAACAAGAAATTCCTAACATAAAATTTCACACTATCTTACCTATTGAGGCAATGTGCTGGACACACGTTCTCTATCTGTGTTCCAAATCTAAAATTTTACTCCAAGAAAACTGTGTGCTCTAAGACTTTCATAAACGGCACAGTGTGTAGCTGGGAGAGGCAACAGATAGTCTGTCACACTTCTGGACTCCAAACCTCCATGGCTACCAGAGGGACCATTATGTCGGCACACTATTAATTACTTAATGGGAAGACTATTTTTTAACTGAGGTATCTTTATCATATAATATTATATACATCAATAAAATAAGCCACAGATGGGCAGAATAGTATTTCCAAATTATGTCTAATAAAGGATTTATATATAAAAGATATACAAAGAAATCTTACAACCGAATAATAAGAAAACAACCCAATTTTTTTTTTTTTTTTTTTTTTTTTTTATGTAGGCTCCACACCCAATGTGGGGCTTAAACTCACAACCTTGAGATTAAGGGTCACATGCTCTACTGACTGAGCCAGCCAGGTGGCCTAACCTTATTTTAAAAATAGGCAAAAGAGGGGCACCTGGGTGGCTCAGTGGGTTGAGCCTCTGCCTTTGGCTTAGGTCATGATCTCGGGGTCCTGGGATCGAGCCCCACATTGGGTTCTCTGCTTGGCAGGGAGCCTGCTTCCCCCTCTCTCTCTGCCTGCTTCTCTGCCTACTCGTGATCTCTCTCTCTCTCTGTCAAATAAATAAATAAAATCTTTTAAAAAATAGGCAAAATAGGGGTACTTGGCTAGCTCAGTCAGTAGGGCATATGTCTCTTGATCTTGGGGTCTTTGAATTCAAGTCCCACACTGGGTGTAGAGATTACTTAAAAAAAAAATAATTTAAAAAATTTTTAAAAACAGGCAAAACATCTGAATAAACAGTTCACAAAAGATTATATACAACTGTCAGATAAGCACATGAAAACACATTGAATCAATACCATTAGTCATTAGGAACACAAAAATTAAAACCACTGTAAGACTCTACACCCACTAGAATGGTGATAATCAAAATGGACTGACAATCACAAATGTTGGTGAGGATGTGGAAAAGTACAGTGGTGTGGCTGCCTAGGAAAACAGTTTGGTAGTTTCTCAAAAACTACACATAAATTTACTGTATGATCCAGAAAGCTCTCTCCTAGGTATGTATGTACCCAAGAAAAATGAAAATATGTTCAAGAGAAGACACACAAATGCTCACAACAGAATTATTCATAATAGCTATAAAGTAGAATTGAATGAGGAAACAAAATTAGCCTGTCCATACAATGGGGTGCTATTCAGCAAAAGGGGTGGGGGGAGAAAGAATGATTAATTCCTGATACATGTTAAAACATGGTTATAGGTCAGAAATGTTATGTTAAATGAAAGAAGCCAGACTACCTATTTCATTATTTCGTTTCTATGGAAGGCTCCTAACAGGCAATTTTATAGACACAGAAAGGAGATAGTTGCCTGAGGCTGGGGAAGGAATGGGAAATACTAAAACTGGCCATGACAGATCTTTCTGAGGTGATGGCAACGTCGTAAAAATGGATTGTGTTAATTGCACAATGCCGTAAATTTACCAAATCACAAATTTTACACTTAAAATGGGTAAATTTTATGGTATGTAAATTATACCTCAAAAAAAAGCATTTAAGAAGTACAGAGACAAAATTATCAGTATGTTGTAGAAAAAACTTTCATAGAATTTTACACAATTTACAGCTCAGTGAGGCTGATCATTTTATCAGTGGTTCCCAACCATTCCCAGGCCAAGAATCCCTTTTTAATAGCAAAAACAGTGACAGCCTTATATATCCTAGTTGAACCTTTAGTATAAACCAAGGAAATAAATAATTTCAAGAATATTGTGAATTTGTGAATAATCACATCCACTACATATAAAAATAGTAGATAGATATGCAAGACAGGTTATTATTCAGTCTATGGACAGAGAGAGCTAAGTGCACCTGTGGATTCAGGGGCTTCATGCATAATGGTGGGGTCAGCGGCCCCAGAGTTGAAACTCGCTCAAAATCTTTTTGCCATCCAATGCAGCACTAAATAAAAAGAGCAAAAAATACCACTCTAAGTTCAGTTCCATGGTCTGAGTAGTCCTCTCTGCACTCGGTTTACAGCTGGGAAGAACGCAATTGACTTTTGGACTATGTGTGGGCAAAATGTACTTGACAAGTGGCTAACAGGAAAAGAGGAAGGTCGCATGACTGGAAAAATGGTTGGATGCTTGTCCAAACAAAGGAGGGAGCTGTTTTGTGAATTCCTGTTTTGTCTCCATTCTACCCCCCCAGGGCCCATTTCAGTTGTAACCAATGTGTGCCAACAGTTCTACAGTGCAAACTCTGTATTAAATGATCATGGCCATGCCCAACCCTTCCACCCCCCCAGGGAGCCTCTTTCCTCTGGGATTTTCACTTTCTGTAGGACATCCTCTCAACTTTATTGACAGTAGCCGAGTAGCATGAAGTATTTCTGGAACTACCAATTGAGGACTTCCCATGTATAAATCAATCACTTACTAGGATCTGAAACGTACTGTTTTCATTGCCAAGAAATGGGTTCCAGAAGCTGTTTCCAAGTTATTTATAAGAACCACTTGTTTGTTTCAGTAAGTCTTGTTTTTGTCACTGCCCACTGGCAGCCGCTCACACCGCACCTGCCTCGTTCAGCTGGTGGCCACAAGTGTTGCAAAGGCAAGAAACATAGGAGAAACTTCTTTTGAAACAGTGTGTAACTGTTCAGTTGCGCTTCCAAATGGTATGTTCAGTATGCTTTTGGGTGACGCATAATAAATACAATATTCTTCCTGTGTTACCAGATGTTCTGGGCACTCTGTGGGACCTTTTTTTTTCCAGAAAAACAACTGGACCTCTCGCTTTGGAATACTTCACCAGAACACATACTGAGTATACTATGTAAAAGTGTAAATAACATGGTTTAAAGGTCAGTTTGTGTTTCCTGATTTTGCGGACATGCTGTAATATCCTCTGCTGAGGGACGTCGCTTTTGTCCTTTAGGAGAGCATCTTTCCTAACCTCGCCTGGTGCTAGCAATTTCCTCAGGGCCCATTCATTTCCTATATTGGTCATTTAGGTCGCTGTTCCTCATGTTACCATGATTTTTCAAGGAAAAAACTCTTTTACAGATTAAAGAAAATATATTCCAGAAATAAATTTGTGTCTAGATTAAAATAAAAATAAAAAGTGGAATAATAAATGTGGTCATACTCAATTACACAAAAACCTGTATTTGTAATGTAAACAGGCAAATTTATAATTTAAGTAAAAGTTCAGGGTAATGGGAGCTCCTGGGTGGCTCAGTGGGTTAAGCCACTGCCTTCAGCTCAGGTCATGATCTCAGGGTCCTGGGATCGAGCCCCGCATTGGGCTCTCTGCTCAGCTGGGAAGCCTGCTTCCCCCCCTCTCTCTGCCTGCCTCTCTGCCTACCTATGATCTCTCAGTCAAAAAAAAAAAAAGAAAAAAGAAAAAAGTTCAGGGTAATAGAATATGCTTTTCTAATTAACTTTCTCTTCTTAATTCATTATGTAGTTTTAAAATAGAAATTTTTTGATCAATTGATTTACTAAAGTTTCTGAGTTTCTCTGTGTGTGCTATTAATTACAGTTAGCATTGTGCCATTACTAAGTTTTAACAAAGGAATGAAAGGCAGTTTGTAAAGTTGTTATTGTCAGAAATATTGTTCCCAAAGCTTTTTTATTGCACGCACATCTGTGTATGTTGTCACTGAAGGGTCTACCCCTAGCAAGTACTAAAAACAGCCAACAGCAGTTCTGACATTTCTTGTACAAATGCTTTCATTAAAAGGGTCTGCTTGTCCTCTTTCAATGTTAATAGAATTCTATATCTATATTTTTTCTTTTTCTTAACCCAAGAATTTTCAGTGTGCCCACTTCTCACCCTAACAGAGTCTCTTAGGATAATTTGAAAGAAAATCTCAAAACCAAAATTTATAATATAGTATCTATAAACATCAAGAATGGAACACCTTCTATAGCCAAGAGCTTCACAGATACTATATTTAACACTTCCAGAAATCTTATACTGTAGAAGTCACAATACTCATTTTACAAATAGGAAAGGTACACACAAGGTAACTTCACAAAAGTAAGGAAACTGGTCCAAGGTCACGCCATAAGTAAGAGGCTGGGTTAGGATATAAACATCCTTCTGCCTCTAAGTCACTCCACCTCCTACTTGCCTGAATTAGGATTTATGTTGCTTTATTTCAAGACATGCTTTTGACAACAGTATACTGTCAAGTGCTTTTAATTTAAAGTTATAATTATTTTCAAATTGGTAACATTTATATACAATAAACTAAGCAAATCCTGTGTTGAATTTTGTATTTCTTTCTTTTTTAAAGATTTTATTTATTTATTTGAGAGAGAGAGAGAGCATGAGCAGGAGGAGGGCAGAGGGAGAGGGACAAGCAGGCTTTACAGAGTACAGGGAGCCCAATGCAAGGGCTTTGTCCCTGAACCGTGAGATCATGACCTAAGCCAAAGTCAGATGCTTCACTGACTGAGCCACCCAGGAGCCCCTGAATTTTATATCTCCATACCCTAGTATAACCACCACCTAGATCAAGATCAGGTGGCTCCTGCATTCCAGAAGGTTCTCTCATGCCCCTTCCTTGTCAATATCACACCCCCAAAAGTAACCACTATCCTGATACCTACCACAAATTAGTTTTGACTACTTTTGAACTTAGCATAAAATAAGTAATTTCATTGTATTTGGATTCTTTTGCTCATCATTATCTGTGAGGTTCATCAATGGACAATGTATACCTTTCAAAATGTTAATTGAAACTTAATGCTAATGTTGAGATTGAAGACTTTTTTAAATTCATATGGAACACTTCACAGATTTGCATGTCATCCTTGCACAGGGGTCATGCTAATCTTCTCTGTATTGCTCCAATTTTACTATATATGCTGCTGAAGTGAGCACAAGTTCAAAGACATTTGATTTGCTCTAAACCAATGAAAAAACATGGGGCCCCTGGTTGGCTTAGTTGGTAGAATATGTGACTCTTGATCTCAGGGTTGTAAGTTCAAGCCCCATGTCAGGTTTAGAGATTACTTAAAACTTAAAAAAAAAAAATTTACAAAAATGAAAAATATAATTTTAAGTAGTATTTAATAATATACATTTAAATATTTAACAATAAAATATAATTTATATACTTCAAATTAATTTCTAGAGGTTACAGAAATTTCTAAGCCAAATTCCATAAAATATTTTATCACTTAGTCAACTTCTGAACACTTAGGTACTATTTATACTTTTATATCAAATATATATTTTTAGATCTTCCTTTTTTTGTTTAAAGAGTGAGAATACACATGCACAAGTTGGGGGAAGGGGTCAAGGGAGAGGGATAGAGAATCTTAAGCAGACTCCCTACTGAGCAGGGAGGCTGACATAGGGCTCAGTCTCACAACCCTGAGATCACAACCTGAGTGAAAACCAAGAGACGCTTAGCCAATGAGCCACCCAGGTGCCCCTTAAGCCTTTCATATCAGTAAAAGTACCAACTATACATTTTATGATAATGCACATTTTTCCTTTGAAAGGAACTATTTTTAAGACCATAAAAATTTTTCATTTTTTAAGATTATACAGAAATAAAAGGTGCAACTTCATGTGTAATTTTATGTAGTAGTATCTTTTAAAAGCCTGGTACTTTAATTCCTTAAAAAGTCTTACGTAAGAGATTTGAGAATGCATAATTATTTCCATCTGTATTATTGACAGAATTGTGGAACTCGTTAGTATAGAGCTGAGTATGTAATCCCAGCATACTCCCGTGACTCCATAAGGGTTGCCAGTAAAAACTGTGGAAAATGGTCTTGCAACATACAGTATTACACACAAATCAGAACATCATGAGTCACAAAATTCTATGCCAGAAGTTATGTGGAGGATATCTATAAACTTTGTATAATAAAAAAAAAAATGTACCTTTAGAACAGGACACTCATTCATTAACAACTAATGTTACACGGGAAGAAAAAGACCCAGAAAGAGGGAGGTAGGAAGTGACAGAGGTGTGTTCAAGTTAATGTTGTTACAAATTTCACTTAAGGAAAAAAAAACATTTAGGAACATGGAATATGGATAATTTTGCATAAATGCGATTGAAATGATACAGGCTTTGGAACCATATAGACTTGGTTTGAATCTTGGGTTTTGTTTTTTTTTTTTTTAAGATTATTCTTTATTTGACAGAGAGAGAGAGCAAGCACAAGCAGGTAGAGCAGCAGGCAGAGGCAGAGGGATTCCCCCTGCGCAAGGAGCCTGACATGGGATTCAATCCCAGGACCCTGGACCAAAGACAGGCGCCTAACCATGTGAGCCACCCAGAACCCCCAGGTTTATTACTTATTATCTTTCTGATTGTGGCAAGTTACTTAATCTCTGAGCTTACTTTAGTCACCTGAAAACTGAAGAACGATTACTCAGAACACTGTTGTTTATCTTACGCGAGAAAAGAAAAACATTCATACCAAGTACATATAACAACTTTTTCCTGGGGCACCTGGGTGGCTCAGTGGGTTAACCCTCTGCCTTCTGCCCAGGTCATGATCCCAGGGTCCTGGGATTGAGCCCCACATCGGGCTCTCTGCTCAGCGGGGAACCTGCTTCCCCCTCTCTCTCTGTCTGCCTCTCTGCCTACTTGTGATCTCTATCAAATTAATAAATAAAATCTTTAAAAAAAAAAAACTTTTTCTTCTCCTAATAATTATTACTGTATTAAAAGATAATCATTGCAACTTACCTTCCCAATACAACCTAGGGGATATATTCAGAACTGCTTGCAAACACCTATATTCTTTCCATTATGCAACTAGGTCTCACAATAAACTGACATCACCCGCTTAGGAAGATTACAGGTATTATGACTCAAATGTGGAAATCAACAGTCATAAAAAAAGTGATCTGAATTCAAGGGCTTCAGCAATGAGCACTCTCCAGTGATGCCTATGACACAGTGGTTCTTCGGGAAAAAAGCTCTGAACTGTCTGAAACAATAGAAGATGAAAGCAAGGCAGAGGAGGACTGTCGGCAGAGTCCTGGAATACTAATAGTATGAAAACCAGTAGAGTTACCCCGCCAGCAACGCACAAACGATTCTCACGCATACTAACCCTAATATGCAAAATGGGTTCTGGGATCAGGAGACTGTACAGGTTCAAAACCCAGACTTAATTTCTCATCTGTTAACATGGATAATGACTGTTATCACTACACAGAGTCATGATGAACACTTGATGAGCGTATCATGGAAAGGGTCTAATTTTGAACAGTATCAGAATACATTCCGCCCTTGATTCAAATGCCCCTTGCCTTCCAAGCAAGACCCCTGTTCTTGGTTCTCCTTCTCCTTCTCTGGTCATTCCTTACTCTCCAAAGCTGCACAAGCCCAGGGCACAACTCAAGGAGTCCTCGCAGAGAACAGCTGCTGAGACAGGCTTAGAGCCGAGAGGTCATGCAGTGCTGGAGTCTGGCCTTACCCATGTTAAGACCACAGGAAATGCATGCCCAGGAATAAAGACAATATTTGAGAAGTAAAACACAGGAATAAGGAACTCTAGAAATAAATATAAAACGGCAACAGACCACCCCAGCAAAGCCTTAAGATCAAGTTCTGATAGGTTCAAGTCGATTGGCAGTCATCTGTTTTTTAGAGGACCCTCTAAAATGCATCATCCACGATTTCTAGCCTATAATAAAAATTATTAGATAGGCAAAACAGGAGAAAGTGTCCAATAATCAAGATAAAGTAATCAATGAAAGCAAAAGTGAAAAAGGACTTCAAAATAACTGTGATAAATATGTAGATAAGAGAAAAAGATGCACGAGATAGGTAACATGGAATATTTGAACAGTTATGATCAATAAAAAAAGAATCAAATGGACATTTGCAACTGTAAAATCCAGTATCTGAAATTAGCAATTTATTAACTGGGTTTAAAAGCACACTCAATACCTTAATCCTACTTATCTAGAAGACAGAATTAATGAATGAAAAGGCAGGCCAAGAGAAAACATACAAACTGGGGGCACCTGGCTGGCTCAGTCAGTGACTCTTGATCTTGGGGTTGTAAGTTCAAGCCCCACATAGAGCTTACTTTAAAAAGTAAAATAAGGGCCCCTGGGTGGCATCCAACTCTTGAATTCAGCTCAGGTCATGATCTCAAGGTTATGAGATCAAGCCCTGCATGGGGCTCTGTCCTGGGCATGGAGCCTGCTTAAGAGTCTCTTTCTCCCTCTCCCGCTGCCCCATGCCCCTCTTAAAAAAAAAAAAAAAAAAAAAGTAAATAAAATTTAAAAAAATTTTTTTTTGTATTTTATTTATTTATTTGACAGAGAGAGCGAGAGATCACAAGTAGACAGAGAGGCAGAAAGAGAGAGGGGGGAAGCAGGCTCCCCACCGAGCAGAGAGTCCGATGCAGGGCTCGATTCCAGGATCCTGAGATCATGACCTGAGCCGAAGGCAGAGGCTTAACCCACTGAGCCACCAAGGCTCAGGTCATGGTCTCAGGGTCCTGGGATGGAGCCCACATCAGGCTCTCTGCGCAGCGGGGAGCCTGCTTCCTCTTCTCTCTCTGCCTGACTCTCTGCCTACTTGTGATCTCTGTCAAAGAAATTAAAAAAATCTTTTAAAAATAATAATAAAAATAAATAAATAAAAGATCATAGCCTAGGGGCACTGGGTGACTCATTCGGTTAAGCATCTGCCTTTGGCTCGGGTCATAAGCCTCGGGTCCTGGGATCAAGAGCCAAGTCGGGCTCCCTGCTCCAAGGGGAGCCTGCTTCTCCCTTTCCTTCTGCCTGTCACTCCCCCTGCTTATGCGGTCTCTCTCTCTAATACATAAATAAAATCTTTAAAAAAAAAACAAACCATAGCCTACTTGCCACCCACTTGTATACCCTCATCCCTATGCCATCCAAGCCCTTAGACTCCCAAACAGCCAACCATTCCATATTTTTTCCTATAGCACTTTCACATTCTAATATAATTTACTTCATATGTTCAGTGCTTGTTGTCTATCTCTACCCACTAAAAAGTTATCTCTGAAAGGATAAGGATCTTTGTTTGGTTCATTGTTGTACCCTGCGTATCTTGAACAGTGCCCTTGCACATGTTAAGTGCTCAATGATTATTTGTTGAATTGAATGAATGCGATTATTAAATTGTTGTCATTATTATTCCAAGCCTCTGTAGTCACCAAGTAAGTTCATGCCATGTCCTCCATCTAACAGTTTTTTCTCTATTTACCTTTGGAACTCCTTTTGATGTGTGACAAGAGTGGTATTATAGTACAATAGTTAAAAAAACAGACTCTGGTACCAGACAGCATGGATCTTCAAGTAACAGAATTCCATATATATATACATTCTGCATTCCCTAAATACATATATGGAATTTATATATATATAAATTAGGTTAGGGTTAGGGTAACCTTAAAAAAAAATATATATATATATATATATATGTATATATACACACACATATATATATATTTATTTATTTATTATTATTATTATCTTGGGGGGTAGACAAAATTATTTATTTATTTATTTATTTATTTATTTTTTATTATTATCTTGGGGGTGGGTTAGACAAAATAATTCCAAAAAATTAAATGAACCAAATGTAACAATTAAATTTATGTCTGCTTAAAAAAAAAACAAACAAAAAACCTTTCTTAGCACTAAAGACAGAAATGCAGATATTAGGCCATGTCACTAGGTGATGCTCTTTGTTAAACTTCTCTCCTGAGAAGGTAATCTGAGGAGTTATGATTCATTCGGATGGGAAAGAATTTATGCTAGAAATAATGATTTAGTTGGCTCCTTAACCACAAGTTACTGTGTCCAGAAAATAAGTTTATATGCAAAAAGGTAAGCCAAATTGATGGGAAACTTTCTGTAAGGTCCTA